AGACTCTCGACGAATTATTAGGTTGCCAGACTTCTCCTTTCGGGCCTTTTCTCTTTAGAAGATGGATCCAGCGCTTTCTACCCTCATTGTTTTTGCGTTCAGTAGGGAACGGAAATAGCTTGAACGGCAGCGGACAGTCACATGGCGGAGTGCCGTGTAAACAATCGTGAACTTCGCATTGCTGTGAAGCCCATTTCTCAAGCTTTTTCCCACTGTTATGGCACCCAAATACTGCACAATTTCTGTGCCCAAAGACCATGTCATTAAACGGCTGCAAAGTAATAAAAATACGATGAGAATCTTTGACTTTTGACAGTTCTTGTATTCGCGAATGTCACTCGCGCGCAGGATTGAATCTACTACCATTAAAAGCTTAAAAACAGCTAAAACAAAGTTAAAATTTGTAACTTACCTTTTGAATATAATACCCACGAAGATTATTTTCCAGTTGATATCACTTACAAGAACAAAAAGACTGTATTATAGATAAAGACACGCTTCAAAGAACGCATTGAATACAGAGACACACGCCATATTGTCACGCTTGGTGCCCACTTTTTTTGTGAGACTATCCCAGAATGCATTGCGCGCGAATTACCTTCCGGAACTCTTGATGCACGTATATCTGCATTGCACGAGGAGATGCAATTATGAAAAGCTTGATTTGAGTTTGGATGCAAATGGCCAAAAGAGAAATCGAGAGGAAATAAGAAAACTGTTGCAGATGAGAAATTGTTCAAGAATCAGAGATGTGTCAGTGGAGGCAAATAAAGTAAGGAATGCGTTATGTGAAAAACTATGGCTTGAGAAGGAAATTGGCAAAGTCTGTTAATTCAATACTGATACATTTACTATTTTCACCAAATTATTTTCATGATTGTATCAAGAACAAGATTGTTTGAGCCCGACATTCAATTAGCCTGTGTCAAGCTAAATCCGACTAACTAAACCGCCTTTTTTTGTTACACATCTGGCTGTGTCGCAGGCTACTGTCATTCAATCTGACTAATCTCAAGTTCACAAATAGGGAAATATTACTTGACCTTTTAGACTTTAAAGAAGAGACAGCATTGATACTGATCTGCTGTAAAGTGACAGAGGCGCCAAAAGAAAGTCAACCATGTTTAGCAAAAAGAACTGTAAATGGTAAAACTACAATCTTCGACAAAAGCTTTGCCAGACTTCACGATTTTGATGAAAAATGAACATTCCCTAGCCTTCCCCTCCCCACCCCCAATACAATGTTGAGTTCTATTCCTGCAACAATGTGACATGTCGAGGATTGTAGGTTGTTTATAGTTAGATTTCGTGTTTTCAGTTGTGTAAGGAAAGATAAGTTAACTGTATTAGTTTAAATCCCTTAGCTGTATGGAATTTCTATGTGAACTTCTTACATTCCTGTTACTCTCCCCTCCCCTACCAATCAGAATTTGCAATCACCTTTCCTAGAATTGAATTGGATGAATAGATATTTCATGGAACCACACATTCATCTTGTGTGAATGTGACGAGGGCGTTTTCATAGCTCTACGATCGATTTTGATTGGAGAAGAACAGCTTGGTTCTTGTGAACGTGGGAATAGCTAGCATGTGTTATCCCAACCAACTTAAAATTAAATGAGGACCCCCTTCAAGGGCCTTCCATACAAACATGACTGGGTGTTGGTTAGGTTGACTTGAAACTTAAGAAAAGTTGTGTTTACCTAAAAATGTTTTAAATTTGGAGTACATGTATTACGCCAGCAGGTACAAGGGAAACTGCAAACTTTTACACTTGGTAGTTAACCTTGGGGAGACAAGATGCCCATGATCTCAGAGCCTAACCCAAACCTGAAAGACAGTCACTAGAAAATTGAACATGAAAACAGTGGCAAATGTACACAAATTATTTCATTATTACTGTTCACTGTTCACTGTTCTTGTTACAGTTTTTATTAAATTTTCACAGTGAGTAAGATAACATTGTTAATTTTTTTTATGATCACTTCTGTAAAACCAAAACTAATTTGTTTTGGTCAAAATGATACAGATTTTGTTCTGAACAATTTATCATTGTATACCAGGATGATAATAAATAACCAATAAAATCTGTTTAATGCCATGTGTACATGTATATGGTGTGGTTCCAAAAAATATCCATACCTCCACCATGGAAGGTTTTCTCGATTGAACCCTCCGTCCCTTTCTCCTTCCAGGAATTTGCAGTTTAGCTTCATATTTTCCCTTAAAAGTTTTGGCTGTTGAGACCCCTCCCCCCTCCCCTAGCAATTTCCATTGACCTTCCATGGGGTGGGTATGGATATTTTCTGGAACCACACATTACTATTGTACGTACAAAGCTTATAACAATAACTTTTTTAACATACTGACAGCACTAGAAAGTATTTCAGTGCAAACTTAACTATAAAAAAATCTGTAATTTCATAAAATAAACTTTTTAACCCTCCTTTTATCTGCATTTTGCTCTCATATTGAAATTTAAAAAACTTTTTATTATTTATTAATCTAAAAAATCTCTAAATAAATATCTGTAATGTTAATCTTATCAATTGAACATGATGAAAAGAAATTACCAATAAAAATATGTTCAATGCCATGTGTTTATTACTGTGGTACTAACATAGCTAATAACAGTAACTTAACATACTGATAACACCAGAAAATATTTCAGTGCAAACTGTAACAATAACAAATCTGTAATTTTATGTAATAAACTTTTTAAACCCTCTCTGCTAATGTAACAAATCTGAAAAATATATAATTGGAATTAATAAATAAATGAGTAAATAAAAAAAACGAATAAATAAATAAATAAACAAGTAAATAAAATGTCTCTTTTGCTCATTCATTAAAATTAAAACATAAATAATATTAATGTTGCTGGTGTCATAGCCAGTGATAGGACTTTCAAGCAAATAATATTGTCCAAACTTTTATGTAAATCCGTGAGCACATGTTTCTTTGGAAAATATAATACTTATAACATTACCCAAATTTAACTGAGAGGAATTCTGTAACTTTTGAAAATCTGGATAAAATATTTATCCTCATAGTGTACAACCGATATAACACACTTTTCAAAATTGCCGGTACATTCATTAACTCAACGCAATATTTCAAAGTGTCAATGTTTAAAAGTAATGTAAAGTTTAAACATGTTAGACTGCATGAAGTGGTTATTCCACAGTTACAAGGAAACAATTAATTTTAAAAAGGTACATTTTCGCAGCTGCCTTACAGTTTATGGTAGTTCCCTGCATTTGGCGGCATCATTGGGGCTGGTGAAACATTCCCATAAGATGCATCTGGCATTCGAAGTTGACTTGCAGGGCCTGGTGCAAAACCCCCATTCCAGTTTGGGTAATACCCGGTATCCCCAAAGGGTATACCCCCAGATGATTGTATGGTTTGAAAAGAATCATAGTTGCCATTTGGCCTTTGGGATAACATTAATTGAAGTAATTTAAATTCATGTTCTCTGGATTTCTCCATTTCTTCCCTCATAAAACTGATTAGTTCTTTGGTTAGGTCATTTTCGATGGTTGATCTGACAAGGTTCTTGGCTTCAAGTGTTGTGGCATCCAGCTTCTCTTTTGTTGTTTGCTTTTTTCTAACATTTTTAACAGGAACAAACAATGGGTCTTTTTCTTCCCCTTCAAGCCCCTCACTACTTGGGGTTGTCCTCCCTGAGTTTGACGAGGATGGCTCCAATTCAATCCTTATATTTAAACACGTGACACCTAGGAGTACCGAAGTTCTCGTTTAAACGTGTACGTGTATTAGAAATCCACCCAACCCAACCCAGGGGAGGACATCCATCACACAGTAATCTCGTGCGTGGGAAATTAACGTCTCCTACCCCAAACCCTGTAGGAGACGGGACCTCCGGCTTCACGTCTTATCCGAGAAGACGAAGCAAGGTGAGTGAAGCGACTTGCTCCAGTGCCCGTTCTGGCTGGCAGGAGTCTCTTGTCTTGACAACTTCAAAGAGAGCATGAAACCACTTCCCGAAACCATGGTCCTCTTGATCGCACTTGTGCAGGTTGACCTTAGTACAAGTCGTTTAAAACACTGATGTTGATCAAATTACCTTTTAGCAGTGTTCACACACACTCCGATAGCATTTATTTGTTGACGTGAAAGACAATTTTCACGTTGCCCTTCACGTTTTCTGCTTGACTTATCATTTGTTCCATCGCCTGAAATCATTTCTCTCTCCATCTTCTCACGAAAGCAAGGCTCACAATAGGCCACTGAACTTCCTAGCATCCAACACACAACATCTTCGTCGTTTTCAAACACCGAACATGGCATACAAAAGTACTCCTTACACGTAAGACAGGTATATTTTGTTGTTTTAAAACAAGAGGAGCACGAGCCTTCCTCCTTTCCCACCATATTGTTTGAATGGTTCGAAGGCTTTCGCGCATGGCACGTAAGCGAACTTTCTTGAATTGTGGGTAAAACATAATTATTTTAACGTATGTATAATGTATGCGTTAAGTTCGGTACATGTAAAGTACGACGTATGAATCAATGCCGATCTTTTACCGTTCTATCCGACTAGCCAAGTCGGATAGAACGGCACTGTCGATCCAAATACAAATCTGCCGATCCTAATTGATTCAAACGTCGATCTTTACATGTACTTAATAGAAACGTTAGGTTCAGTACATGTAAAGATCGACGTTTGAACTAGGCCTAAAAGATCGAATCTACAAGTTACCTGTAACGTATTCGCTAAGACGGATGACGGAACACCAGAGCACTCAAACACAACGTTTTAATCTTGTAAGCCGAGTGTACATCAACAAGCGAAGAGCGCGCAAAACATGCCGGATCCCGGATGTAAACTAAACTGTATAAATTAACTTAACATGCATAAATTAACATCGTTACATCTCCCTTCGTTATTCGAAAGACGAAAGAGTAGAGAAAGAAAAACGTGAATTGTTTCCTATAATGATTGTTCGAAGAACATAAACGATATAGAAAAAGTGTCAGCATGCATAGTCACTGAGGTATGCTGGTCTTCGTAGGACTCTTCCCCGGGAGCTGCATCTTTCAGGACTTGGTATGTCATCAGGTGGAGGGCCTGGTGCTGCTTGTGGCTTGGCCACCTCTTGGGGCATTGATTCAGCTACTGGTGGTACCTGTTCAACGTTGGTCAGGGGCAGGGGACAAGGATCGGAGCTAGATACCTCAATGTCAGGAAGTGATTGTTTTGGAACTTCAGCTGTGAGACGCAGGTGTCGGCGGTTCCGGCGATACACCCTTCCGTCATCAGTAATTACTTGGTAGGAACGTACACCAACTTGTTTGTCAACCGTTGCTTGTGTCCATTGATGCCTATACTTGGGTGGATGGATACGAACGGTGCTCCCTGGTTCAAGTGGCCGGAGTTCTTTAGTGCCATTGTTGTAATAGAAGGCTTGTTTGTTCTTCTGAGCATGAAGAAGCTGGGAAGTGGTGTCAAATTCAGGTTGTGTCAGGAGTCTGCCAGCGGTAGGCAGGAGTGTTTTGGTACGGCGGCCAAAGAGACGCTGCGCTGGAGATGTTCCTAGTCCTTCAGTGGGGGTGTTGCGGAAGTCAAGGAATCCCAAGTAAGGGTCACTGCCAGCCTCTAAGGCCTTAAGCATGATTCGCTGCGCAGTCTTTACCGCGTTTTCCGCTTTGCCATTTGACTGCGGGTAAGTGGGAGAGCTTGTAACATGATCAAACTCATATAAGTCTTTGAACTTCTTAAACTCCTGCGAGCTGAACTGGGGGCCATTATCGCTTACTATCTTGTCCGGAATTCCATGTCTGGCCATATGAGGCTTGAGCTTTTCAATTACTTCTTTCGATGTCTTAGTAACAAGCTTGTCGACCTCAAAGAAATTTGAGTAATAGTCAGTAGTGACAAGGTAGTCCTGGCCCCGGAGCTCAAAGAGGTCAACAGCAAGGACTTGCCACGGTCTTGATGGTACTGGGTGTGAGATCATGGGCTCCCTCTGCTGCCCTTGGTGGTATGTATTGCAGACTGCACACTGGGAGACATATTCTTCAATCTCCTTGTACATGCCAGGCCAGTAGAAAGCTTCCCTTGCTCGTCTCTGGCATGCCTGTACTCCCAGATGACTGGAGTGTAGCTTCCTTTTGAGCTCAGCTCTCATTTGGAATGGTATGACAACACGGTCTCCCTTGAAAATAACTCCGTTTTGAAGTGTGAGCTCTTCTTTGAAAGGAAAGTACTCTTGAACTTCCGTTGGGAGACGGAGCTTACTTTCTGGCCAGCCTTGTTTAATGACGCCAGCGAGGGTCTTGAGAATAGCATCTTCTTGAGTAAGGTTTTGGATTTGACAGAGGGTTTCATCTTTCACTGGAAGATACTGTAGCATGTTTACTTGCTCTGCTTCTATCTCTGTTGGCGACCTTGTTTCTGAGACTGTCATGACGTCTTCCTGGTCCTCAGGGGCTTCTTTAAGCGACAGATACGCACGACTCAGGGGATCAGCCATAAGCAGGGAGGGTCCCCTTTTGTAAGAAACTTCAAACTCGTAGCGTTGGAGTCTAAGAAGCATGCGTTGTAGCCTTTTTGGTGCGCTTAGGAGGCTTTTCTTGAAGATCGCTTCCAAAGGCTTGTGGTCAGATTCAACCAGCACTTTCCTACCATACAGGTAGGTTTCAAACTTCTCCATTGCGAATACTATGGCCAATAGCTCCTTTTCAATTTGTGCATACTGGACCTCTGTGGGGGTCAGGGACCTGGACGCATATGCGACTGGATGTCCATCTTGCATTAGACATGCTCCCAGGCCATGCATAGAGGCATCGCACTGTAGTGTGGGCGTGGCACCTGGGTCGAAGTATTTTAGGACTGGAGTTGTAGAAAGGATCCTCTTCGTCTCTTCCAGGGCTGCACCATGAACTTGGTCATCCCAAAGGAACTCGTTGTCGTTCTTAGTGAGCTCACGTAGGGGAGTCGTGATCTCTGAAAGTCTCGGGGCAAACTTCTGCAGGTAGTTGGTCATCCCTAAGAGGCGTTGGATGCTCTGTTTGTCAGTTGGTGTTGGCATCTCTCTGATTGCCTTGACTTTCTCAGGGTCAGGTTGTAGCCCGTCAGCGGAGAGCACATGGCCCATGTACGCGACTTCCTTGAGCCTTAGCTGCAGCTTTTCCCTGTTCAGCTTTACGCCTTTATCTCGGCAGCGTTGGAGAAGAGCAATGAGTTTTTCATCATGGTCTCTTACCGCTTCATCATCATCAGCTCCGCATCCAAATACGAGGATGTCATCAGCGATCGCTTTGCATCCGTTCAGTCCTGCTAATGCCTGATCCAGTCTTCGCTGGAATTCTTCAGGGGCTGGTGAGATGCCGAATGGCATTCGGAGCCATCTGTATCTTCCCCACGGAGTACCAAATGTGGTTGCATAGCTGCTCTCCTCGTCCAAGGACACGTGCCAGAACCCATTTTTGGCATCTAACACAGTAAAGCACCTCGCATTTGAGAGCTCAGGAAGGACATCTTCGATTGTCGGCAGCGGGTAGTGATTGCGTTTAAGGGCTTGGTTAAGTGGTTTGGGGTCCACACACAGTCGGACATTGCCATTTTTCTTCAAAGTGACTACAGTTGCTGATATCCAGGAGGTTGGAACATTTACTGGTGTGATGATGTTAAGGCCTTCCAAACGATCCAGTTCCTCTTTTAGCTTTTCTTTAATGGCGATTGGCACCTTTCTTGTTGGGAGTTGAACTGGCGGTACGTTCGGGTCAATTTCAAGGTGGAGATCACCTTCTAACTTTCCTTCTCCCCTGAATACATCAGCTTGTTCTTTGAGGATAGATTCTGCTGTAAGTGGTGTTTTGCTCTGCGAAGGCTCTTCAGACTGAATAGACATGATGTTTTGTCGGACCACAGAGATGAGTTGCATTTGCTCACTGGCTCGTAAGCCAAGCAGAGGATTGCCTTTTCCTTTTACAACTACAAATTCCACACTGTATTTTCTTCCATTTCTGGGATTCACAACTTGGACACGTTTCTTGCCAATGGGCTCCTCAGTTTTGTTGTACATAACAAGAGTTACGTCCGCATTGTCCAGCAGGGATAGGCTGCCTTCACCATATACTTCTTTGAAAGACTCTTCAGGTAAGATGTTCACTGTTGCACCAGTGTCCAGTTGGAATGGGACTCTATGACCATTTAATAGCATTACCGCAAGCAGTTTGTCTTTACGATCAGGATTTTCCACCGCACAGACGTGCTCCTTGACATCAACACAGGCGACATATTCGTCAAAGTCAGAATCCTCCACTGCATGTACTGGCTTGCGGACGTGTCTCGGTGTGGGAGGTTTACAGGATGTGGCCGAACTGGGTGGAGGCGGTTTGTTTTTGCAGGCCACCGCAAAGTGGTTTGGAATGCCACAATTAGAGCAAGTCTTCCCCCATGCAGGACATTTAAGCTTGTTCCAGACATGCGTTTTGGCGCAGAACTTGCAGCGAATTTCTCTAGGTTTCTTTTCATGAGACTGACTAATGGCGCTGACTTCCTCCTGATTAATTTCTTTCAGTTGTTGGCTTGAGGTCTCATAGGATCTACAGATATCAATGCATTCCTTCAATGTGAGTTTGGAGACTTGTAGGAGCTTCTTGCGAGCTTGATTGTCTCTTACTCCGATGACAATCCTGTCTCTAATTAGACTGTTCTCTAACACTCCGAAGTTACACGTCTTCGCCAACGTGCGCAAGGCCGTGACGTAAGCATCCAGAGACTCGTTTGGTTCTTGGTCTCTCTTGTTAAATCGGTATCTCTCGTAGATTTCGTTTGTCTCTCCGATACAATAACGCTGTAGCTTTTGGAGAACAATATCAATGTCCTTCTTATCGTCTTCAGTCTCGAATTCTAAGCCTTCGTACACATCTAGAGCATCTGTGCCAATACAGGTTAGCTAGGCATACTGAGTAATTTGAAGTTAGCTAGATTCCTTCAGCAGAGATTTCCTTTCGAAAACACAAAACGATTCCAGTCACCGTTGTCTTCCGCTATTCGTTGTGAAGAAGGTTATGAATGGCGAGCGCCAAACACGGCAGTATCAGTTCGCAGATCAGAGTTGGTCGACCACGTGCGTGCGAACAAATCTCTCTCCAGAACACTTTCCGGTTCGCTGAGCGATAATCCCTCGACAGCACCAATTGCAGAAACTAGTTTTCACTTCTGACACCATGTAACGTATTCGCTAAGACGGATGACGGAACACCAGAGCACTCAAACACAACGTTTGGATCTTGTAAGCCGAGTGTACATCAACAAGCAAAGAGCGCGCAAAACATGCCGGATCCCGGATGTAAACTAAACTGTATAAATTAACTTAACATGCATAAATTAACATCGTTACATTACCTACTTTATATTTTCTTGCACCCAAATTCACAGGTATATAGTACTGCTATCTAAAACTTTTCATTCAAAAATAATCACAATCAGCATTCTTTCACTAAATTCCGTCAATAAATTGCTTACGTGTTTGCTTTCTCTCCAGTTTTCACACTTGCCGCCATCTGTGCAAAAAAGGAAAACTTAAAATAAGCCGTTTGTGATAATTGACCCAAACATAAGAGCTTAAAACAACGGCACAAGACAATAAAAACTCCAACCAGTTATCAAATTTGGCAAATGATAGTAAGTTCATACCTTTTAGTGCTCAATTCAACTTAAGTTTCTTCCCACGTTCACGACGACGTGAAACAACTCTTTCTTTTATGTGCTTGTTTGTTCCTTGAACAGTAAGTAATAGTTTGCCTGGAAGCGGGGGAGGGGCGTGCTGCTTGAAAAACTTACAAGTGAAATTGTTTGTTGTTGTTGTTTTTTTTAGCATGAGAGAGGAATACGGACTACTTCAAAGTGCTCTTAAATCTGTTATGAGCTTTACTACGCAAATCTGCCTGGACAGCGTGTTGTTAGCTGGCCAAAGAATCAAGACGAAATTGGAAAACAGAGTTGATATTAGTGACTGTTTGGACTTAAGTGATTTCCCCCAATTTAAACACTGCCACAGCGATTGGCTAAGAAATTAATTTATCAACCGACACTTCAATCTTGTGGTATGTACTTTTGAGGATTAATTAAGAGTAATAAATAGTTAGCACTCTCTGCTTGCCTCCCAAATATTCAGCAAACTGTTTGTTTTTTGAGACCTTTGTTGCTTGAAAAAAAGTAATGGTCATTCTGTTTATTATTTATACATGTATTTTCCACATCTAAGGGTACTCTCACTGGTATATAGGTCATTAAATACAAAATATGATTGAGAACTATTAAAAATTGAGAACAAGAAACTGAAGGGAGACAGTTTTGGAAAAAAAATATGAAAGAATGAGCATTGAAATGTGATGAGTTTCTCCGTCCTAAAAATATAAATGACCTTGAATGATTTTCATTATCTATTTTGTTGTAGCAACCAGTGCAGAGGACTCTTGGAACAACACTCTCAAGGACTAGAGGACATGGCAGAAAAAAGAATCATCAGTTCAAGAAGCACACCTATTGTTTTATTCCTCTCATAAAGAACTTGGAAGCTTTATTGTCTGATAAAGAGTTGAGAAAAGCACTGTTGCAGTCTAACTGTAAGCAAGCTGATAGCAAACTGAAATTTCTTCAGGATGGTGTAGCCTAATCCAATCACCCTCTCTTTGCTATTGATCGAAACACATTGGAGCTTATCCTGTATAGTGATGAAATAGAACTGTGTAATGCTGTGGGCACTAGAGTAAAAAAACACAAGCTTTTATTGTTTTACTACTTGGTAAGTAATTTGTCAAAGAAATATTGCAGTGTTCTTGATGCCATCAATCTTTTTGCAGTGGTGAAGTCTGAGGATATTGCTACCTATGGGTTTGACATCATTCTTGAACCCTTCCTGAATGACTTGAAGCAACTCAGCATGCCAGATTGGTACCCAATCAATTTGAAGGATGGTGAGACAATACGTATAAGAGCATCTTTGGTGGCACATGTAGCAGATAATCCAGCTGCTCACCAAGCCATTGGTTTGAAGGAATCAGTGGGTGGTGCCCTCAGAAAGTGCAGGTTTTGTAATGCTGATAATAATGCCATGCAAAATGGATTCAGAGAGGACGATTTTGAGGCGCAAACACTCAAGAAGCATTTAGAGCAATGTAGTGTGATCAGTGGAGCCACTCAGACCCTTAAGGACCACTACAGAACCAGTTACGGTATTAACAGGAAAAGTATCCCCACTGAGTTTCCACACTTCGATATGTTTAAACAAACTCCTCCAGGTGTTATGCATGTTTTCTTAGAGGGAGTTCTACCCCTAACATTACAAGCTCTTATAAAACATTATGTTGACACTAAAGTAACCAATCTCGCAACAATAAACAGTGCCATTCAAAGTTTCCCATATAGTTACATGGAAATTACTGACAAGCCCAACTATGTACGTGAAAAAGATCTCCATGGTTCCACAACTCTGAATCAAGATGCAGCAAAATGTCATTTACTCTTTTGCATTTTTCCATTCGTTGTTGGAGACAGTATTAACTTTTCTGACAGCCACTGGGAGCTATACACTTTGTTAAGTGACATTACAGAAATTTGCTTTGCATCAGTTGTTAGCCTTGAAACCATAGCACAGCTAAAGGAAAATGTTGCTGAATATTTAAGACTCTTCAAGGAACTTTTTCCTGAACAGCCTTTTACTCTAAAGCAGCACTACCTTGTACATTTTCCAAAAGTTATACTTCTTCTTGGTCCACTGATAAACTTGTGGGCCATGCGTTTTGAAGCAAAACATCAATACTTCAAAGACCTTAAGAAAATACTGAATTTGAAGAACATTTGTTTATCCTTATCCAATCACCATCAAAAGAAGGCAGCCATGAATCGCAGTGCTGCTTCAATATTTAAGGGTAACGAATATGGTCCTGTGCAACATCCCAAAGGAGAAGAGTTGTCAAGAATAAAGGAGAGGATTTCTTCCACTCTTGCTCTTGATCCAAATTCAATAAATAATGTGGAATCATTTAAATGGATTAAACTTCATGGAACAAAATATATAGAGGATAAATGCTATTTGGCCATCCAGTTTGATGATGTAGACCATCCAGTTTTTGGACAACTGAGTGGGATTTTTGAACTAAATATTTCGTTTGTTGTCTTTGATGTAGTATGTCTAGAAACAGTAGGATATGATGAAACACTTAAAGCTTTTGAGGTTCGTCCACAAGCCTCAGGCATTACTTCAATCACGCCAGATATGCTAATTACTCACACACCTTTGGCCATGTACACATATCATGGCTCTAGTTACATTAAGTTGAAAGGCAGGATTTCAGATATACAAAATAACTAAATCTTCTCAATGGTAGCTCCAGCTCATTATCTGCATGACTTTGCTTCCATGGCTGTTCTCAATTAAAGAAACAAATATTATGGTTATGAGAATGTTATATTTTCTATTAATATCTATGGTTAGATGTGAATTGCAATTGTGTTTTAAAGTTATTATTTATCATTTGGGTTATAACACAGCTTGTGCTGGTATCATGCTGTTTTTGTTGAGTTGGAGGCTGACCATTTGGCCTAGTATATACACTACGGGGTCAAAGGGTTAAACTCACAAACTACTGAGAACAAATCCAGATAGCTAGAGAACTGGAACCAAGGTACACTAGATTTCAAATCTAGCACACTAAATCACTCGGCCATGCGGCCTCCAGACCTGTTAAAGAGTGTCATTAATAGTTAATTTTCTAAGCTTGCTTTGAAGTTGAAATGTTAAATTGTTTTGTTTTTAAATTGAAATGATGTCTTATTGGAATATTTTGTTCAATTTTAATTTACCAGTGACCTCGCCCCAATGCAAACACTTTTAGCTGGCGATGGAAACATGAAACAAATGGCCAAGAATTAATTTGCCTGGTCATATTACCACTCAAAATCTATTCTTGTGTAGGAAAATTTAACTGACGTTAGTGTGGCCTTTTGCATATGCTGATTTGGACTCAATGTGTCCTTTTCTTCAATTGGACTCTGTTAGTTTGTGTTGGCAAATTAACTAATTAAAGAGCAAAGTCATCTCTCGTTTTATTGAATCTACGGCCGCAGGTGCGTAGATTCCTTGCCATCGGGTCTGTCCGTTAACCAAAAACGAGTAACAAAAGAATATTCGAAGTTAATTAATACCGAGCATGCGCGAATCTCTTTTGATCGAGACAATAACAGGTGCGATTGATTTGGCGGTAGCCTTTCGGTTCTTGAAACCTGTCAACGTTCGTTAGGTTGAGAGTTGTCTTTTGATCGAGGATGAGTTGTCTTTGGATGGAGGATTAGCAGACTACGTTTGGGTGAGTAGAGCATTTTGTAAGGTGACTTTCTACGACGTACGTTACTCAAGCAGGCATAACTTTAACTGGATGTGTTTTTACGAAATATTTGTTAGCTGTTGTCAATCCCTTCGAAGAGTTTATGCCCGAAATATTGCGGCGAAATCGACGTGTAGATTAGCATATGAATGCGGCGCCCTGTCTTCGTTGAATGGAGCGACGTCGAGTTTTTTGGGCAAGTATCCATCTTTACCAAGTGCACTGTTGGTAAAGTGGCTCCAATCGAGCCATCTTTATCATTTGACGATCTTAAATGGCGGAGAAGTCACGACTTTATTGGCTCTGTTGGCAGCGAACAATGGGAATGCACCTTTGGAGACGCCTGTGAACGATGATCCACGATCAGTTAACAAACAATCCAAATATTCCAAGCTTAATTGAAAGGCAATCTCGCCAGTGTCTTCACTTAAAGCAAGTCAAACTTTACAGAAAGAGAAACAGAGAACCATTGAGAGTACCATCTAAAGTTTTAAAATTAATTAAACACAGAAAGTTAAGAAGCAAAATTAAACGTTATGTTAAAGAAAGTGTTCCATCATCTGTTTTATTCAGTATTGCAACCAATTACAAACTGTGGATTATCAAGGTTGCTGGTAGGCAGGAGTCATTTTCCACCAATTTTTTTCGGTAAGAAATTTCAACGAGAAAGTTGTTGGACATCTAGGATCACTCACGGTTTCTGGGAAACCACTTTATTTTTAATCGTCACGATTAATGAGTCACTCGATAAATGATTTTCAACGAGATTCGTTTGTTCGAGAATTGAAACGAGTCAAAACGAGACTCTTTTGATGAAACGAATCTCATTTGAAGAAACGAGACTCGTTCGGCAAACGTTGGCTTCCAGTGCATGTGTAGATGTATAATTTTTTTTTGGAATGCTTTGAGAAAATTAGAAAACTGGAGAAATTCATTAGCCATGAAACTTAATAAATTGTGTTTGTCAAATCGTACCCTCATTTAAAGTCTTTTTCTCCTGGACCTTATTTCTGTGCTCTCCCTTGTCCTTGTCAACCTTAAAGGTAAAGAAAGAGGCCTTGATTTTTTAATTTTGCAGTTCACAGGCAAATTTCCTTTATGCTCATGAGTCTAGAAAATATATAACTTTATAGGGGATTTCTTGTTACTTTATTTCAAGTTTGCTATCTTTAGAAGTGCAGAAACAAGTACTTAGGTTTACAGCTTCATTTTTTTCCATGGTATAATTGGCCATCATGTTGGAAAGTGAATGGGGACTTTCAAGGGTCATTCATCACATGCAATTTTACCTTGTGATTGCTGTTTGTACTATATATGCATGGAATTTTTCCTCTTCTGTGAAAGGAATGTTCTACGTACCAGAAACGGTGGCATTGAGGGATCCCTCTTTTGTTTGAGAAATGTGCTAATGGAAACTTCTGTAAAGAAAATTTTCTACTTACCAGAAATGGTGGAATCAAGGGATTGATTGGGATCAAAATTCCTAGA